GTATCAGTAACACAAGATGAATACAAGTCACACTGAGCGTCTCTTGTAGTTGTTGAAGTGAAATATGACTCAAGTATTATAAACGTAATACAGTTTTTCTTTCTTAAAGTGTGCATGTCTTTTTCTGGCACTATATATACACACACATAATACAAACCAGCTGAGCCTCCTGAGGGCTAGACTGGTCCAGGCTGTGATAGGACAGTCCCATGACCGAGGCCTCCTTACTTTGTGATGTGGTCTAGTTCATTATCAGGCGTCCATATGGCCACAGCCTTCTTTCTAATTTTAAGAACATGTCTGCTCTCTTCTTCCTCCACCTGTTGGATTCAGAGGTGAAGCCCAAGTTCTTCTAAGATTGGATGACATTCTTTCCAGCTGTGTGACCTTCACCTAGTCTGTCAACCTCTCGGAACCCCAATTTGGTCAGCTGTAAGATGAGGCTGACACGCCCACCCGGACATGCTGTGTTACGTGAGAAACATGTTTGCTCTACACAACAGCTTTAAATATTTCTTGATACAGATACCTTCTTTTCTTTCTTTGCTAAGCCTTCATTTGAGTCTCTTCCTATGGTTCTCTCCTCCCTGGCAGCCTCTGCCTCATCAAAGATGCTGCTGGCCTCTTGGTTTCCTAATCTTGTGGACCCTTCTCACTTTTTCCTAAGTCTTCTGAAATTGCACAGCACCCCCAACTCCTTCAGAAGGTCTCCGGTCTTGGCTTCTACATCAACATCTTCTCAAGATTCTCTCTTCCCTCCTTTCTGGAAGACCCTCCTCCGTGTCTGCCATGACCACTCTCCTCAGCCCTTTCCCCCTCACTGTGGCTCCTTCCTGGCCCCTTCCCTCAGCTCTGTACTCTTGGTCTTTGTCAAAGCGGTGGTCAAGGTCATGGAGGACCTGCTGTGTGCACTGGCACATGGACAGCAGTGTCACTCCCAGGTGAGGACACATGCACTCTGAGGCTGAGGTGGGGAGACAGTGTGCCCCAGCTCAGTCACGCAGAGGAGACTATAAACACAGACCCCTCCTGCCTCTTAACCGGTTGTCTCTGAGCAATCTCATCCCCACTAAAGATTGTGTCTGCCATCTTGGCATCTCCAGCTGGGACCTTTGTTTAGGGTCTAGACCTAAATAGTGACCCTCCTTGGGGCATCTCCCCTTGGAAGGCCCACAGACACCTCCAATGAATGTGGACTTGTTTTCTCTCCCTGCAAGCCCATTCTATTCCATCTTCTCCCACCTCGCTCACATCAGACACATGAAGCCACCTGCACCTTACATAGCCAGCAAGGTCCTGCCCCTGCCTCTGAAATGCTCTCCACCTCAACCCTACTCTCAATCCCTCTATCACTGCCCCAGCTCCCTCAGGCTCTATCTCTTGCCTTGATATTTTGCAGGTCTCCTAATTGTATCCGGGCAGACCCTCTGTAATTTATTGTCCTACCCAGTGCCCAGGTACTTTTTCTAAAGTTCTGCATTTCCTGCTTAGGACCCTACTTTGGCTAATCATTAGCTCAGAGATAATAGGCACATTCCTGGTGGTGCAATCCCAGCCCACTGACCATCTGGTCTGCTGCCCTCCAGGCTGATTCTCCACCTCCCAGCCTCATTCTCTGCTCCAGACTACCTGGATTACTGGAGTTCTGTGGATAAATAGAAGAGCAGCCAGCACTGAGGGCTCACTCAGAGCTGCACTGACGTCTCCTTTCACCTCACAGCCACCTGTGATGGACAGATCATTAGAGCCTCACCAGGGAGGCAACTGGGGCCAAAGAGGTCAGTCCATTTCCCAGAATCATTCTGAACCATTTTGTGTTGCTCCAAAATCCATGCTCTCACCACCAGGCTTTAAGACCCTGGCTGATTGCACAGCAGGGACCACCTTCTGCGTCTTTCCCCAGCTCCCTCCAGGCAGCCAGTTGCTAAGGTCATAGTTCAAGGGTCATCTTTCCCTTCGGAAAGCTGTGCTTGGCCTCTGGCCCCTGGGCTAACTCAGGTGAGTCACTGGTTTTGCATTTGTACTTCTCTCAGTTGACAATTCTGTCATTTATATAGGATGCATCCTTGGTTTAACAATTATCTTCCTTGGAAAATAAGCCGTAGGCCCTCCCCATGGGAAACACACACAGCCTCAGTCCGTATCTCACCCTGTACCCAGATGGGAACAACTGAACCCTGCCTTCCACACTGACGCACTTGTCTACGTTGGTCCGATTTCCAGTCCCACTAGGTTAAGCCTCTTGAGGGATTGTTATCTCCTTTCGACGCCCCTGACTCCTGATACCTGGTAGGAGCTTGATGAGTGAAACCTGAGTGGACAAATAATGACAAGCACATGACAACAGCCAGCATTTAGCGAAGCACGCAGAGTCCCGAGCCCTGAGCCAGGCTGCCGCACAGGCCGGCCTACGTTCTCTGCTCACAGTACACAGTTATGAGAGAGGGAGGACGTTTTCCTATCTACATTTTTCAGATGAAGAAACAAAAAATCAGAAAGGTTAACCAAGTCGTTTATTGTCTGATAGTCAGAGTGCTGCAGGATTAGAATTTTAAACCAGTGCAGCTGACATCAAAGTCTGAGTTCTTAAGACTAAGGTGCCTTTCCAAAGAATGAAACCTCTTTATTTTTTTTTTACTTAATTTTTATTAGATCATAACTGTATACATTTATGGGGTACAATGTGATGATTTGATATACAATGTAGAATGCTTAAATCAAACTAATTAACACAACCATCACCTCACTTATTTTTTTGTGGTAAGACATTTTAATATATTCTTAGTTGTTTTTAAATGTACCCTTGCACTGTGCACATTAGGTGAGATCCCACCAAATCCCCTCCCTCCACTCATCCTCCCCCTTCCTCTCCCTTCCCCTCTTTCTTTCTGGATTATCTTTGTGTTTTATCATCCATATGAATGTGTACGTGTTTATATATTATGATGGCCACGTCCTGACCTCCCTCACCTTCTCACCCCAGGCCAGAGTCACCAAGATCTCACCAGCCCGTCTTTGTTTGGTCAATATCCTTTTTAAAGAAATCACAAAAAACTTAAGAGAAATTCAAGCACTGCTTGACCATTATGGAAAATAGCAGGTGATCCTTCCTTTCAACTGAATGCCACGATTCAATCTATTTGTATAGCTCAGATACACTGTTGGTGAATGAGCCCGTAGATCACCCTAACTTCTGGTTTTCCTGATGAAAGCTGAGCCAGGTTCCATGAGTCTTCCATTTCTCATACTTATTTCAGTTGAAAGTTCTATCACTTGTAAAATGTACCATTGACTTAATATTATCTTTGCAGGAAAATAACATCACACCCCACAGGCGTGCGTGCGTGCGTGCGTGCGTGCATGCGTGCGTGTGTGTGTGTGTGCGTGCATGTGTGTGCATCTGTGTGCGTGCATGAGTGTGCATGCACGTGTGTGTGCATGCGTGTGTGTACGTGTGTGTGCATGTGTGTGTGTGTCTATACATATATATACACAACTTCACTCCATACCTCACACCACACACAAAAATAAACTCAAAATGAATTACAGACCTAAATGTAAAATTACACAACTCCTAGAAGAAAAAGCAGAAAAACCTTTGTGACCTTGTATTAGACAAATACGTTTTAAATATGACACTAAAAATTCAACACACTAAAAAACTGATAAATAACACTACTTCACCAAAATTAAACACCTCTGTTTTTAAAAAGATACATTGTTAAGAAAATGAAAAGAAGAGCCACAGACTAAGTGGATGGAGCAGTATTCGTAAAACACTTATCAGATAAATAGTTTACCAAAAATATGAAAAAAAACTCAAGGCTCGGCGCCTGTAGCTCAAGCGCTAAGGCACCAGCCACATACACCTAAGGTGGCGGGTTCGAATCCCCAGCCCGGGCCCACCAAACAACAATGATGGCTGCAACCAAAAAATGGCCAGGCGTTGTGACGGGCGCCTGTAGTCCCAGCTACTTGGGAGGCTGAGGCAGGAGACTTGCTTGAGCCCAGGAGTTGGAGGTTGCTGTGAGCATGATGCCATGGCACTCTACCCAGGGGGATAGCTTGAGGCTCTGTCTCAAAAAAAAAAAAAAGAAAAGAAAAAAACTCAATAAAAAAGTTTGAACAGTCATTTTTCCGAAGGAGATACATTGACAAATAAGTACAGGGAAAGGTGCTCAAAACCTTTTGTCATCAGGGAAATGTCAGTTTATCCCACCATGGAATATTAATATTGAGCATATTGGTATTTTACAGTGGTTTAAATATGCTGATGATACTAAGATATGAAACTCCTTGCATTGCTGGTGGGAATGCAAACTGGTTCGGTAACTCTGGAAAACAGTTTAGCAATTTCCTAAAAAGGTTAAACACACACCTCACAAGACCAACCCAGATGCCCAGTCCTAACTCCCTGCTGAGGAGGAATGAAAAGATACATTCACACGAAGAGCAGTACAGGAGTTTTATAATGGCTTAACTCATGATTGCCCCAAACTGAAAACAACACAGACGTACTTTAAATGATGAATGCTAAACATTTTCTGCAAAGGAATACTACTCGGTAATAAAACAGAAAAAACTACTAATGTCTGCAGTGACATAGATTAACTCTCATTGAACAAAAGAAGTCGGATACAAAGTCTACATCAATATAGTTCCATTCTATGGTATTCTGGAAAAGAATAGGAGAGAAAACAGTTCAGTGACTGCCAGAGGCTGGGGTTGGGGTCGACAACTGAAGGACATGAGGGAACATTTTGGGGGGTGAAACTGTTCCAAATCTTGATTTTGGTTTTGATTACATGACAGTATGTGTTGTCAAAACTCATGAAACTGTAAAATGAAATGATATGACTTGGTCTATATAAATTATGCCCCAATAAATAAAATGTATTCTTGTACCGTGCAACCAGGGGTATAGGAAGAAATCAGGTTACAAATATTATAGTTGAAACTTTAATTATATACAGATATATTTGCTAATATTTACAACTATTCTACTGATGAGCTGGTTGCCTTTCATATAGATTTTAAAAGGCATCTAAAGTCCAGGAACAATGGAAGGTGATGGAAAGGCTTTCAGAACCGAGGAGACGCACCAGTCGCTCTGTGGTGCTCAAAGCCTGCTCTAGATGGAGCCCTGTGCAGGTCCAGTTTATGAAGAGTGTTCTTGACCCTGACATGTTAGGCAGCCCTTTCCAGTCAGTACCTGGAGAGCACCCTTCCATTTCTTCATGCAGGCAGAATGGGAAGATATTAGCCTTGGTGGGTCCAGCGGCACAAAGCAGAGGATTCATTCAAGGGGAAGTCTTCCAGCCGGCTGTTCCCTGGTTGCCTGAGTGAGGCTTCCCTGTGCCAAAGCTCAGGTCACACGGAGAGCCCCTCAGGTGTCTGAGAACCCGGCCCCAGTGAGCATTCTCCTGGCTGTGCATCCTGCCCTGGTTGTCTCACCCTGCAGGAAATGAAGGACCGGCAGTACCCAGAAGGTCCAGCTCAAAAGCGCCATTGCTGAGCTCAGAACGCAATTACAGAGCTTCACTCCATGGAGAAGAGCATTCTGCAACAGTATTTCCCTCCTTGAGGCTCTACAGATGTGAACCTGCAGGATGAGTCTCTGGGAATTATACTTTTAAAGGGGTTTTCTGGAAGTCACTGCTCTTGTGATTAACACCAATACCACCAAGGAGGGTCAGTGAGTACGGGCGCCCTTAAGTGGTGCCAGGAAGAATATGGCATCACCTGCAGGCATCTTGGCCAAACCAAAGACCTGAAAATAAGGAAATGCTATCTTTTTTTTTTTTTGGAGACAGAGCTCCACTCTGTCACTCTGGGTAGAGTGCCCTAGCATCGCAGCTCACAACAACCTCCAACTCTTGAGTCAAGCGATCCTCTTACCTCAGCCTCCCAAGTAGCTGGGACTAGAGGCACATGCCACAATGCCCGATTAGTTTTCTATTTTTGTAGAGACAGGGTCTCACTCTTGTTCAGGCTGGTCTAGAACTTCTCAGCTAAAGCAATTCACCGGCTCAACCTCCCAGAGTGCTAGGATTATAGGTGTGAGCCACTATGTCCAGCCAGGAAATGATACTTTTAAATGACTATTTTCTTTAAAATTGCCAATATCATAAAATACAAAGAAAGGTTATAGAAATATTCCAGATTAAAGACACCACTGAGATATGACAATGTGTACTGAGGGGGCAAAACTCTAAATAAAACCTTACTGAATGAAGATATTGCTAAGATCAAAATGCTGGTGGTAGATTAGAAATAAAATATCATCAATAATAATTTACCGAGGTTGACCACTGTGCTGTGGCTATGTAAAAATATTGCTATTTTTAAGAAATACATACTGAAGTATTTAGGCAGAAAGGGCCATGATGTATGAAAGTTCCAAATTGGGAAACAAATAGTATTTGTTGAAATTATTACCATTATTATCATGGAACTGTTATTATTGAAGTTATTCTTGTTGAAATTATTTCCAAATAAAAAGCTTTTAAAAATGTAGTCCTCCGCGTGCCACTGCAACCACACACTCAACCCCACGCACACTGCTAGTCACAGAAAGTAAGAGGGGGAGAAGAGCACTGTGATTCTCTGAGCCCTGCGAAGGCCTCTGTAGACCGGATCCTTATGAAAATGTCAGTTCTAAATATCACACGACAGATGTTTTTCCCAGGCTTGTATTGGGACAGACATTGGGACAACTTTCTCTTTCAGACAATATCTTCTGGGTGGGGTAAGGCCCCCCCCAGACACTCACCTGCCAATCATTTCTAACACAGACACCCCCACTTTCCCCAAGATCCTTCAAATGCGGACCAGACATTCGCTATGCTCGTGTTAGCATTTTCCCTCTCCCAAGCCCTGGGCAGACTCCCTCCTCCTCCTGTCGTCGGTTTACTGCTTGCAAATACTGCGGCAGGGGAGAAGGGCCAACAGGAGGGGGAAGACGAAATCGAGCCCAATGCCTTGCTCTGGGCACAGATTTGTAGTTCTAAGAGACACGCTGCTCATCTAGGACCATACGTGGCCCAGACTGTGTCTAGAGATATTCCAGACACAATGTCATCCTCGTAACGAAGGCCGAATCTCAGAGGATTGACACACAGGACGTCTAATTCTCACACTCATACAGGTCAGTGTGGGTTGGGTGGCTCTACTCTGAGGGGTGACGCAGGGGTGCAGGCTCCCTGACTTCTGGGCCACTGTCATCCTCAATGTGAATCCTACACAGTTGCTGTAGCTCGGGAAGATAGCGTGGGTAACACGTGGAGAAGTGGCATCGTCAGCCCACGTCACACATGTGACAGCAACTCCTTCAAGAGGTGACGTCATCTCTCAAGGTGAGGCCTTGAACCAAGATGCCTTTACAACCACCTCGAGCAGCAGAACATGGAGGGAGGGACAGTGCCACTTCCAAGGCCGGGCTATGAAGGGCTCTGTAACTTTCCCTTTCTCTGAACACTCACCGTGGGCCCAGCCAACTGCCAAGATCATGTGATAGACGTCAAAGACATGTAAGTCAATGAGCCTCGGCCTTCCAGAGGAGGCCCTGGACTCATGGAGCAGAAATCAGCCATCCTGCTGTCCCTGGTGAATTCCTGACCTGCACAAGAATAAGAAATAATAGATTAGTACTGTTTTTTTAAGCCACTAAGCTTTGGGGTGGCTTGCCACGCAGCAGTGGATGACTCCAGTGAGCATCTTGCTAGCCTCTGCCCAGTTCTCCAGCTTTCCTGAAGAGAGCTGCTCCCTCCCTAGGATACTCAGACTCCCAGCTGGTACAAACATCTCCACAACCACTGTTACCACGGCCATCATCGGCACTCATTGTACCTGTCAGGGTCTCAGCAAGAAATATAGATGGTTCACAGACAAGGGGGAAGCATCTGAGTGCTTTCAAGAAGTGGTTAGGGCAGGATTAAGGGAACCTATCAGCAACACACCTTGGGGCTGGCAACAGAAGGGAGCTGTGACCACTCCAGGCCAAACAGCAGCCTGGAAGGGCTGCTAGAATTCAGCAGGAGCTCTACGTACAGGAGAGGGCTGCTGAAAGCTATCATGAGCTGTCAAAGGCCCAGCAAACAGAGACTGGGGGAAATAAACACCTCAACTCTCTCTGCTCACTGTCTGACTTCCCACTGACATTAGTGGGACCCCATAGGAAACTGAGGAGCACAGGAGCCTGGCCGACACCGTCACAGGGGTCAGCCTCCCAGGGGACAGAGCAGGACAGGAAAGGTGCTGAGTAGATCTGGAGGAAGCATGAGCACCCCCGGTCATCACTGTCACCCTCTCAGGCTGCCTCAAGGTGCAGACAACTTCTGAGGTACAAAATAATTCCTCATGTTTTTTCATATCTCATCCCTTGCAGTATCCTCTGCATCTAGCTGAGAACTTGGGACATAACTGGTGGTTATTTCCATCCTTGAACAGAAAACCTACTCCATCCAAGGCTCCAGGCTAGAAACGTGGGGACAGAGAATAAAGGAAGTGTCATGAGGAAGATCTAGTGTTAGGAGCGCTTACCAGGGACAGATTCCTGGAGGTTGTGGTGCTGAAGGTGGAGGAGGTCACCTCAGCAGGCACAGTGCAGGGGAGAGTGCCCGGCCTGGGCACCACATGAAGAAACGGTTTATAGGTGAGAAAACAGCATGTTCTGGGAGGAGAAAACAATTCTGTTTTACTGGAATGTGAAACTCACAGAGATAAGATATATGTTATGATTAAGTCAGTGTTAGTAGCATGATCATACCGTGACAAATTCCGAAAGCATTTGAAAGGCCTTGGACTTAGCACGTCGGTCTGCGGCAGTGGTGGGACAAATGCAGCGAGCAGACCCCCCACCGACCCCTGTCTGGGGACACTGCAGGGTCCTGCGTGGATACCACACCGATCCTGTCCGGGGACACTACAGGTTCCTGCACAGACACCCCACCGACCTGTACCGGGACACTGCGGGCTCCCGCGGACATCCCACCGACCTGTACCGGGACACTGCGGGCTCCCACGCAGACACCCCACTGACCCTGTACGGGGGACACTTCAGGCTCCTGCGTGGACACCCCACCGACCCTGTCTGGAGACACTGCAGGCTCCTGCGTGGACACCCCACCGACCCTGTCCGGGGACACTGCAGGCTCTTGCACTAACTTAAGTAATGGAACTTCCCTTGACGGGCTGGGAGCAGAAACAGAAGGGGCAGCGACAGCAGGCTGAGCACGGAGGACGCCACTTATTTGACACTCACAAGTATTTATTTATCTAGGGACCGCACCAAGGCAGGCACTATCCTGACCACGTGGACAGGGCAGGAAGCAAAACAGAGAAAGCAGCATCCTCTCCCACCGGGTTGGGTAAGAGGATCCCTGTGCCATCAGCGCAAGTAACAAACGTAACTCAGGTGTAAGGGGCGCACGCTCCTCCGCCTGGGACGTCCTTCCTACGCTGTTTCTGAAGACACTGTTCGTTCGTGCTAGTTACCTACACTTCACAACGTAAACGTGTTTTCCCTGGAGTGTCCTCCCTCCGCTGAATCAAGAACTCTTCAAGAACAATTTCACTGGGCTGGGCGCCTGTGGCTCAAGCGGCTAAAGTGCTAGCCACATACACCTAAGGGTTCGAATCCAGCCCGGACCGCCAAACAACAATAATGGCTGCAACCAATGGGTGCCTGTGGTTCCAGCTACTTGGGAGGCAGAGGCAGGAGACTCGCTTGAGCCCGGGAGTTGGAGGTTGCTGTGAGCAGTGAAGCCATAGCACCCTACCCAGGGGGACAGCTTGAGGCTCTGTCTCAAAAAAAAAAAAAGAACAATTTCACTTTCGCCCTTGGACCCCTAATGTATAGAATAGGCCAAGTATCTGTTGGCCTGTTGACATAGGCCAAGTATCCACAATATGTTTGAGAAATTTTTTAAACGTTAGATAAAATTTTTCCTGTTATTTTAATGCTTAGAATGCATAAAAATTAAGTTTAGAAATAATCAGAGCAGACTAGAAAAGGGAAAAGGCCGCCCAGGTGGGGCCTGCCGGAGCAGTGGGGAGTGGGACATGGAGGGGCTCAAACCCCAGTGATTCTTGGTAATAGCCCACATGTCTGCCAGGCGCAGGGTCCACACTCACCCCAGGTCTCCTAGGCCAGTGAGGGACCTCATCCCTGCAAACCAAAAGTGGGACCCAGTCAGTGGCATGCCACGAAATCCAAGTGCAGCCTCTGATAAGTACACTTATTGGGGGAAAAATGGGAAAGCATTTGGGAGTGGATGTGTCCCAGAAGATCTGCAGACATGTGGGCAGTGCACCTTCACTCCTACAGCTGAGAGAGGGGAGCTGGTTTCAGACGGGGTGGAGAGAACCTGGTAAAATACACCTTTACTCAGCAATCCGGACGGAACACTGACGGCTCAGCAACACTGTGCTCAGGCCTGTGCGTGATGGAGAGGGAGACAGCTCCTACCCTGCAGTGTTCAGAGCATCATTTAAGACAGAGACTTCCACATGAATTAATGAGTTAATAGTTATAAACCAGGGGCCCAGGCACAGCACCCAGCTTTATCCAGCCACAGTGGGCATTTACCTCCCTTTTGAAATGGATGAGATGGCTGGCTGCAGGGGTTCATGCCTATAATCTTAGCACTCTGAGAGGCTGAGGTAGGAGGATTGCTGAGGCTAGGAGTTCAAGACCAGCCTGAGCAAGAGTAAGACGCTATCTGTACAAAAACTAGAAAAAATTAACTGGGTGTGGTGCCAACTGTAATCCTAGTTACTCAGGAGGCTAAGGCAGGAGGCTCACTTGAGCCCAGGAGTTTGAGTTTGCTGGGAGCTATGATGATGTGCACTTCAGCTGGGGCAACAGGGCAAGACTCAAAAAAATTAAAAAGAATAGAATGAAATGGACAAGAGAGGTGGACCCCGGTTTAAGTCCACGCACCTTGAAGGACTGGCCAGTTGACAGACATCTGTCCCTGCATCCTAAGCTAAGGTCAAGTAAGCTAGGACGGCAACAGCATCCTAGCTGGATCCATCCTAGCATGGATCCATCCATGATCCTCACAAGCCAGGTCTTCAAAGACAGGCAAGACTTTGCTAACCAGGGAGAGAGTATTGGTGGAAGAAGGAAGGAGGACGAAACTGGGAAGACTGAGAGTTGAGAGCCTTCAGGGAAGGTGCCAATGATGAGAAAGCCAGTGTGGCATTTGTGTGGTGAGAAATCAGACTAAAATCATAGTTTGAAATCTTTTTTGCTGGGGAAACCCTGAAAGAAGGTGAGTGAGTCAACGGCCTGACCATGAAAGGTAGAAGTAAAGCTGGTACAAGAGGTCGGCATTACAAGAGTAAACGTCGCACCAGAGGCACTGACAACAGACACCAACCCTGGGCTTGAGGACATGATGGTGCTGCAAGCGGGGGTGACTAGACAGCTCAGGAGAGAGGCGAGGCTGGGAGCGCTGAGTGGGGTGTCTCGTACACAAAGGGGATGGCTACAGAGACAGCCTCTTCTCCTCACTGCCCAGCCCAGAGGAAGAAGAGGAGAGAGGGGACCCCTCAGACCACAGAGCTGCTCCCAGGAGTAGATGGAAGGAGGGCGGGCTAGTTAAGGACAAGAAAAACGTTCCCAAGATGGTCACTGGTCTGTGATTCCAAGTTTAACCTTTGCCAGTGCTCTTTTAGCAAACAAAGCATCAGGGAGTTGGGAAGGGACGCTGGACCGCAGCAAGGCTGCAGCACCATGTACAGAGGACGTCTCTGACTAGGCTGGCCACCACAAGGAGGGCCTGGGGACAGTCTGGGAGGGGAGCGTGTGGCCCCAGTGGGTGGGAAGACGCCACCCACAGGCCTATCTATCTTCAACGTTAAATGCCTGCGAGATTTGGGGCTAAAGCTTTCAGGACTGTGAGCCCCAACTGCTTCACTTTTTAGTTTGCAGATTTTCACATGTTGGAGGGAAGAGTGTGTCCCATGGCACAGCTGGCACAGGATCAACCCACAGCGTTCTGAGTCACCTCCACCCTGGCCTGTGTCCTCCAGCTGGTTTGTTTGCAAATTACTCACAGATACTAAGTCACTTCTTCCTTAAACAATTTCTTGAATTTTTTTTTTTTTTTAAGATAGTCTCACTATGTCACCCTCGGTAGAGTGCAGTGGCATCACAGCTCACAACAACCTCCAACTCTTGGGCTTAAGCGATTCTCTTGCCTCAGCTGCCTGAGTAGCTGGGACTACAGGTGCCTGCCACAATGCCTGGCTATTTGTTGTTGTCATTGCAGTTTTCATTGTTGTTTAGCTGGCCTAGGCTGAGTTCAAACCCGCCAGCACCATACGTGGGTGCTGGGTGTATGTGGCTGGTACCATAACCACTGAGCTACAGGCACCAACACAATTTGTTGAATTCTTCTCTAAAAGATACTGACTTTAAACAAGTAACCACATACTGTTACTGCATCTAAAATGTTAACAGTAATTCCTGAAGAGCCTGTAAGTGTTGACATTTCCCTAATTATGTTGCACTGTTGGGGGAAGGGAAGTTGCTTCATCGGAATTGAGAGCCCAACAAGGTCCGCACACAGTATCTGGCTCCCTCTCTCTTTTTCTTCTTAATATTTATCTGTTGAAGAAATAAGGTAACATGAAAGAGTTTCCTGTCATTCTGGTTTTGCCAGTGGCATCCCCCGGTGCCACTGAACAAGTACCTCTGTCTTCTGTATGTTTTTGTTTGTTTGTTTTTAAGGCAGAGTCTCACTCTGTCACCCTGCTTAGAGAGCCACAGTGTCACAGCTCACAGCAACCTCCAACTCTTTGACTTTAGCGATTCTCTTGCCTCAGCCTCCCCAGTAGTTGGGACTAGAGGTGCCCGCTGCAATGCCCCGCTAGTTTTTAGAGATGGAGGTCTCACTCTTGCTCAGGTTGGTGACAAATTCCTGAGCTCAAGCAATACTCCCACCTCAGCCTCCCAGAGTGCTGAGATTACAGGCCTGAGATACCGGCTCTTCTGTATTTCTTGTCAACTGAGAGTTAAATACCGAGGCTCAATGCAATCCATATTTGATTGTCTTCATCAGAAAATATTGTGTGTTTCCCGATGCATCACACACTAGGTACAGATGTCTTACGGTCTCTTTGTGATGATGTGCAGATCAATGTGTGGATTCAGAGAACATGTGCCCATAGTACAATGTAAGTTATTATTTTCTTACAGAAAATCTAACCCATTTTGATCACCAGAAAATGCAAGACTCAATATATAGTAAATCAAAACTTCCAAAACACTAACATTTCTTAAGCATATAATCTCTATGACCATTTCTATGACAAAACATTGTTGATTTTTTTTTTCAAATGAAAGCAAAGTTCAGAACTGGTCTATCACTAAAATTAAAATCATAGATATAGAAGATCTCATTAAAAAAAATAGGTCTGGAGAGATAATAGTGAGGAAGGGAAGCAACTTCCACAGAGCACCTGTCTGGCTGTCAACAGTCCTGGGACACAAGCCCCTGTCTTGGCACAGGGGTGCTGGGAGCTGAGGCTAGGAGTTGGCAGCAGCTGTTCTAGAGATTTTTCTTGTTAAAAAAGGCCTGCACTAAGGTGCTGGCAGAGAGAATGGAAAAGTAGCGATAAATGTGACATTACGAAAGAAGAATTAAAAGGATTTGGTAAATAATTAAAGAAAGAGAGAGTTAAGTTATCACCAGTACCCTGACAACTGACTCTCAAGTAATGAAAGAATGTGAATTGGAAATTTCATAATAACATGAAAAATGTCCTGTTGTTTTAAGCCAAGGGTCGCAGCACCTGGCATCTCTCTGACCTCGTGGACAACTGGTATGCCCAGATAACCTCAGAAGTCTCCCTAATCCATCAGAATCCTCCCCCTCATCTCTAAACATTTCCGAGAACATTGGTCATAAGTAAAAAGTAGTAAAATAGCGTCATGAGCCAAACAGCATTTTTTTTTTTTGAGACAGAGTCTCACTATGTCACCCTGGGTAGAGTGCTGTGGCGTCACAGCTTGCAGCAACCTCAAACTCTTGGGCTTAAGTGATTCTCTTGCCTCAGCCTCCCAAGTAGCTGGGACTACAGGTGCCTGCCACAACACCTGGCTATTTTTTGGTTGGAATTGTCATTGTTGTTTAGTAGGCCCATGCCAGGCTTGAACCTGCCAGCCTTGCAAGTGTATGTGGCTGGCGCCCTACTCACTGAGCTACAGGCGAGCTAGCGTTTTTTTTTTTTTTTTTAGACAGAGTCTCACTCTGTTGCCCTTGGTAGAGTATCGATTATCTTGTCTCAGCCTCCTGGGTAACTGAGACAACAGGCACCTGCCACAATGCCCAGCTATTTTTAGAGATGGGGTCTTGCTCTGGCTGAGGCTGGTCTCGAACCTGTGAGGTCAGGCAATCCACCTGCCTCGGCCTCCCAGAATGCTAGGATTACAGGCATGAGCCACCACACCAGGCCCAAACAGCATTTTAAAGGAATAAAATATTAACCTATTTATCAGAAAAATAAGCCAGGTGCAGTGGCTCACATCTGTAATCCCAGCAACTGGAAAGGCTGAGGTGAGAAGATTGCTTGAGGCTAGAAGT